CTTATCTTCCAGCAGGAAGTAGCCAAATAACCTGAAGATTGTAGTATTCCAGCTCCTCATTGCTGTATCAGAAACGGTTTCCAGTGCTTCATAAATGTTGAATGGGTAACTAGAAAGGATTTAAGAACGAGCGTTTGGGAGAGAGAAGCGCCCCGCCATTTGGGTGCCCTAGTTTGCCCCTCCTGGAAGATGTGGAGAGGAGGGGGAGCCCCGCTGCCCCGCTCCAACAAAGGGACGGCAGCGCGTGCTCCGCAGAAGACTCCAGAGCAGCCTGCCAAAGCTCAGATCCACCCTTGCCTTCCTTTCCCCGGCCCCTCGGCCCCGGCGCTTCCTTCCGCGCCGCTAGGCGGGCGGAAAGGGCAGCGGGCGCCTTTAAATGCTAATGAAGTCGATGCCCAACTCCGGAGCCAACTCTCCCCACCCTCTTCCCTCCCCGGCCCGTGCGCCGCCTAGAAAAACTTGTGCGGGGCCATTTTTGGGGCAGTAAGATCCAACGAGGAGCCCAAGAGCTAGCGCGCAGCCCGAGAGCTCGAGCCGCCTCCGCCGCCAGCGCCTCGAGATCCGCACCGGCCTCCCGGAGAGCGAGCCCCGGCCGCCGCGACCTCCAGCCGCGCTAACCGCCGACCAACCGCCAGCGAGGCGCCCGAGGGAGAGCGGAGGAGGCGGCATGAGCGAGGCGGGCGAGGCCACCACCACCACTACCACCCTCCCGCAGGCTCCGGCGGAGGCGGCCGCCGCGGCCCCCCAGGACCCCGCGCCCAAGAGCCCGGCGGGCGGCGGCGGCGGCGGCGCGCCCCAGGCCCCGGCGCCCGCCGCCCTGGTCGCAGGCAACCTCGGCGTGGACGCGGCCCCCGCGGCCCCGGGCACTGCGGCCCCCGCCTCTTCGGCCGCAGCGGGCAGTGAAGACGCGGAGAAGAAAGTTCTCGGTGAGTCAGGCCCGGGAGGGTGGGGGCTACCCGGGGCGGAGGCGGGATCGCTGACAGCACGAGGTCCCTGGGGACGTCGGGTCCCCGGCGCCGGTGGCCGTGGGTCCCGCAGGCGCTGCCGAGCGAGCGCGCTGCGCCCTGCGCTCCCGGCCTCCCGAGCGCGTTCTTCCTGGTCCTGGGCCCGGGCCCGGAGATCGGGTTCTTAACTCGGGTCCCCTAGGCGGGCCCTGTCGCATCCCGTGGCGAAGCATCCGTCGGTGCGAAGGGGAAAGGAGCGGCAGTCGGGAGAGAGGACACGGGGTTGGGATGGATGTGGATGTCGGGTTGGGACAGGCACCCACGTGGGACGGGGACTTCGGAGTCCTCGCGTAGGATCTGGGTGAGGAGAGTTTTTCCTTCGGGGAGAGGAAGGCGCTCAGAGGAGACGGGGGAGGGAAAAGTGGAAAGGCTTCTTGCTGGGAAGGCTCAGGTGTCTGTCCCTGACGCCCTTCCCACGGGGGCGCAGGAACGAGGCCATGCTTCTGTCGGCCACTTGCCGGCGGAGAGGTGTTGCAATCCTCTCCGGGAAACTTGCGACTTAGTCCTGCGTCCTCCGCCCTCTCTGTGCCCGCTGCTGCCGTGAACCACTGAAGTGTTTACCAATCACTCTCTCTTCCTGGATTGTGGGAAAGCCTTTGGTGCAGCAGCTGAAAAAACTTCGTCGGAAGTGCGGGTATGACGTTAGTTCACAACAACGTTATCTTGGGACTCGTAACTTAGGAAGGGAGCTCGGAAGATGAGGTGTTCAGGTCGGGTGGGGGGCGCAGAGCATCACAAAGGATGGCGGTGGGCGTTGTTGGTTTTGTCGCGTATTTCAGCCTTCTCTTCTTAAGTAACGCCCTGTGTGAGGCCTTAAAACAGGCTCTCAGAGGGTGTGTGCTCTATCACTCCCTCTTTTTTTTAAACGGGGAAGGTGAGAGATGGTGTAGGATGCTTCCGAGAAATTTTCAGTATTTTGGATGGGGCGTGTTTGATCTCTCTGAGCCTTGCCTGCCCAGTTTTCTAGGAAGAAAATTGGGGGAATAACGTGAAGAAAGTTTAATACGATTCCATGTTTCCAGCCTTGAGAGGCCTGTTTTCATGTTTTTTTGTTTTTCCTCCTCCCCACAGGGCAGAATTTTACTCAGTTACTGTCAAACAACGTGCTAAATGTAACATGTGCAGGTTGAGAAACAAAATAGCCCTCATTTCCCTGGGCTAAAAGTTGCTTCAGTCCAGTCCGTGTCATATTGTGATATTGTTTGCAACAAGTGTGCCTTGGAACACTTCCATGCAAAATATCAGAGAGACAACCTTGGCTTATCCAAAGCAGTGTTAATATATATTCTTAATTTGATTGATTTTCACATAAAAGAAATTTTTCAGTTTTTCGCTTGATCCTTGTACCTTTCTGGATCTAACGAAACTCCTGAATTTTAAACTGAAGCAGATATCTTTAAAGATGAAGGAAACAGACCAGTCAATTTCCTCAGCCACCAACTGCTCTTAAGGCACATCCCTGGTGGTGATGAGTCTGGAGGTCTTGGATCTTTCCACTGTCATTCCAACTCTCAAAAGCAAGGACAGCCTTCTGCATGACGTTTCAATACTGTCTCTGTCCAGTGTGTCTGCCATCTCCTTTCCTTAGCCAAGCAAGCACATGGTGCCTAAAATGTGCCAGGCGCAGTGCTGACTGAAATGGAATTCTGGTTTGGGACTGTCACATTCTAGTTTTTACAAATGGTTCTAAACTGCGGTGCATAGCCACAGGCCAGGGAAAGTAGTTGACAGGACTGAGGGAAAACTTCCCCCCCTAATGAAACCTGACGGTCTTCCTCCGTCCCCACCTCCCGTTCTGTGTATATAAAGTGAGTTTATGGTTTTAAAGCAAGAAGAGTGCATGGATGTGTTTGGCCTTATGAAGTCATTAGAAATATTTGTGGAATTAGGAAATTTTAAAAAACTACAGTGGGAGTAAAAATAACCTGCAGCCTGGATTGAAGTTATACTTGAAAATCACTTTCATCTTTCTCGGTCTTAGTGTTGCTTTTCTAATCAAGTTAATGCCTTAGACAGTACCTATAGACATTAACTATATGAAAATGAATCAAAAAGAGTTCCTAACTTTATATTTTCCTTATATTTTTCTAGGTCATTAATTTTGGGGCAAATGAAGGGAGACACAAAAAGCGTATCATTTGAAATAATGTGCGATTTAAAAGCATATGATTTATCAAAACCAGTCTTCTGTGTACATTTGGATCCAAAGCATAGAATGTTTTTTTCCTCTTTGCCCTGCTGCTCTAATTTAAATGGCCTAAAACTGAAGATTTTAATAGTTTAATCTCTTCATTAGAGAGATCTTCCTTACTTAGCCTAAGAGCCGGAGATTCCTCAGCAAATGGTGGGCTGAATGACTTTGAAGACATAAAGAGTTTTTTGTTTTCCCTTTTTTTTTTTTTTTTTTCTTACAAAGAGAGCTAAAATACTTCCCCAAGCATATCAATCTAGCAAAACTCAGAACTAACCCTGCCCACAGCAAAGAAAGTCCTAATTACTGTTTTAGTCTTGAATTTAAAAGCCAAATCTTTATTGTTTATCCTTGGAAATTAAACACTCTATATCGCATAGAAAGGTAGCATGGATTAATGTTAATTGTTACTTTTATTTTCTACTAAGCTTTTTTCTTTTTTAAAGGTACTCTATTGTCCCATTATCTATTTCACTGAGTCTTGATAATTGCTTTATGCCTTTCCTGAATTTAGGCATAGGCATTTCTAGAGGTACTGGATTTCGTACTCACAGTTGATTCAGGGGAGTCATCTAAAATAATAAATGGCTGAAACAAATATGAATCTACGAAGTATAAATTCTATGACCATACTATTTGTTCAGATTCCTTCTCTTGAGTTCTATTAAGATCTGGCATTCTACAGAAATGGTCCTACTCATGAGGGAAAGTAGAGACAATAATCAAGTTAAAGGGGAGGAGGTGATAAGAAAATGCTAAGGGTTTGATTCCTACCAAATGGAGAGAGTAGGGTAAACAATGAAACAGAATCCCAAATTCATCACTGGTTTGAAGAGGCCTGTTACATCATGTCTCAGGGTGGTAAGTACAGAACTGGGCTGAGCCGGCCTCAGTTCTATTATTACTCTTGGCTTCTTTGCTAGGCCCCCGTCTGGCACCCAGACAAGTTTCTTCAGGTCCCTGTAGATGAGCTATTAACAAGGAGCTACTATTTCACTATGTAGTTTGCCGACTGTTTCAAAGTGTGATGAAAGTGATGTGTTAGGTGGTCAGTACTTACCTTGTTCACGCGTCTACAGTTGTTTTCGCTGTGACCCTTCTTTTGCACTTAGAAAATTTTTCAGTTGTAAAGCTTTAAAGAGCATGTTTTGTTTCGTTTTTCTTTAAGCAGTGTTTCTCAGTTTTAATTACGGCAGAATTGTATAGACTTACGACCACTCCTTAGGACTTTATTGAAAAGTTTCATGAGGAAGAAAGGTTTAGTCTTTCTGAAAAGTATTTCCCTGTGATAGCTTCACTTGCTCCATTTTCTTCTCCCAGTATACTTTGGAGTTAAGCTTTTAATGGTTTCCTCAGGTATGTTTAGGCTTTAAATAATGCTATCAAGACCTTAGTGGTATGAGCTTTATCTTTTTGTAGGTCAGATACTAATTTATCTGTTTGATCCTATTTTAGCCACCAAAGTCCTTGGCACTGTCAAATGGTTCAACGTCAGAAATGGATATGGATTTATAAATCGGTATGTCTGTGTACCTCTACATGTTTTAAATACCTCCTCATGCTGTGGCACCTGCTGTTGGTGTCTTTTCCCATACTTTGTGAACGGCTTGTGTAAGTTTTCAGATTTCTGAGCACCGTATTCTCATTTCTAAGCTACTGATCATTAAACATTAATTAAAATACCTTTCTAAAACATTGATAAGTACTTATACAATCTACTCATTAAAAGAAAAATAAGGTGGCGGTGGGGAGGATAAATTGAGAAATGGGAAGGGCCTCAGGATAATTGAGTTGGTATCCACAATTTCACAGATGGAGAAGTGGAGTCTTAGACTGGTTATGCAACTTTCCTAAGGTCGCACAACTAGTGAGTAACTGAGCTGGATCTGCAACCCAGGTCTGGTCCAAGTCCTGTAGAAACCGTAGTGTTTTCTTTAAACCATGGTAGCTTCTAACCATATAGGAATGAGAACACAGCTGTAAGCTATGGGAGTATTCTGATGTTTTTATACGATACCATCATTTTCTCTATCCCCCCTCCCAGGCCTCCCTTTTTAAAAAAATTCCTCCAGTTTCTTCCTTGTATGTTTTGGTGGGTGGTGGCAGTTTGGGGTGGGGGGGGTGTTTTAGGTTTCAGTGTAAGGAGAGCCTAGTTCACAGCTGTGCCCTGTCCTTTTAGCTGTCTTGCTTTGCTTTTGCTGGGAGGGAAATCTAGGGCTCTGGTTACACACCATGTGATTTAGAGAGAGGTGAGAGGAAAGGGATGTTTCTGTAGGTTGAATCTGTATGCTTGGGTCCAAGCACTGTTGTCGTATGGAGGAGTGAGGTGGATAGCTTTTGGGTTTAGAAGTTTTTAAGTAGGATTGATTTGAGGCATCTGAATTGAGTTTAGAGGAGAAACAAACATTTATGCTGTGTTTTGAGGTCTTAGGATCTAAACCGTTCTTTTAAGTTTTTCCGCATACCTAGTCCCTTTAATTGTGAGCTTTTTGTCTTCCAACAGAAATGATACCAAAGAAGATGTATTCGTACATCAGGTAAGAGTGATGATAAATGTGACATTTGCTCTGTGAGGAGAGGGGCGTCTGTAATGTGCTATTATCCCTTTCCCAAAATGAAGTCCTGCACATTATTGTTCTACTCGAAACTCTTTCTGGGACTTTATTTTGGCAAGAGAGCCCAGTTCTACATTTTAAGATTTGCACATAAGCTCTTCTGTCCCATCATAGTAACTGTTTTCATACAGTTTTTATTTTTGCAGTCTTATGAAGTAATAATCAGACCACTTCCTAATTTTTAATGCCTTTGAGTCTTTAGCTAAAGCCCTTCTGTTTCCATGTTAGCATCCTATGCTCCCTGACTGTGGTTCCTCCTTGTGTTGGGCTGGACTCCATCTTCCTTTCGCCTGGCTGTGTATTGGTTCAAGCTCCTCTATCAGAGCAGCTTGAACTTGAATAGCACAGTGAAGCAGATGGTTAGGGTGTGTGTATCTGAGACATTAGGAAACTCCCAACTCCCAGCATAGTCCTCTCTCCTGCGAGAACGAGACATGCTTGGCTCAGGCCCAGGTCAGAAAGGCTTGCAGCCCCCTAGATTCAAAGGAAATGTAGAAAATGGGTAAAATATGGAAAACATGGGCCTCTCTGTACAGAAAGCTCAGTCTTCTTTACATTCTTAGCCTAGGATGTTATTCTGTTGTTCTGTATCCTGGACTTGCTTGGCAAAATAGGTTAAAAGGAGCATTATGTGCGCTTACTGTTCTTTTTGTATATTTAGTGTTCAGTGAATTGTCTCGCGTATCTGTGCAGTTCTCAGTGTATAACAACAAAGAAGTACAGGGGCAGGTACCAATACCACCAGCACGTTCACCTCCAGGGCTCTGTCAAGCATCTGGTTTTCTGTGTTTTTGTTTCCTTCTGTTCAGGATCCTGTGCGTAATGGGGTGGGGTTTGGAGACTGGCGAGAGTGATAGCTAAGAAAAAGCTCTCTGGTTGTGGTTTCTATCAGTTATATTTCAGTTGCTCCTGGGTAACTGGAGTAGATTATTTGGTTCAGACACAATGACTTTTAAAGTCATAACAGACTGAAGGGGAGTGTTGCTTATAACACCTAGAGGTTAATAGACCTTTTGGGGTAAGAACGCTGCCTTTGGTGACTGCTGGAGTAAAAGGACCTCACAAGTTTCTGTGCCCGCGGCCAGCTTCACTGACCTGATTCCAGCCCCCTGTGAAGTTGGGCGGTGAGTCACCTCAGTGTGTTGAGGCTTGCCCAGTTTAACAGGAAAAGGGGAATGAGCCGGCAGGGAGGGGCTGTTTTTGGACTGGCTGAGGGTTCAAGGCCTGCGAGTATATCCTGTCCTGAACTGCCTTTTTCCTCTCTGGGTGAGGTCTCTGCCCTATTGGCTCATTTTTTTTTTTTTTTTTTCCTCCCTCCTACTCAGAGTAAGGAAAGGGCTGGATTACACATGCCTAATCGCTTTATAAAATAAGGTTGACCTAGTTCCATAGAAACTCAGAGCCCCTTTAACTATTTAGAGATACCAGCTAAAGAAATGGGGAATTCGTTGCAGGAATTATTGTCTTCCCGCCACTGACTGAAGGAGAGAGGCCTAGTCATAAGCAGATATTTAGGTGCAGATGTTCAATGCAGGATAACATCTTCATTAACTTTTAATGTATTATCAGGGAGTGTGTAGGGATAAGCTGACATACTAATGGTGTGATGAGAAAAATTTGAATAAATATCATAGAGTTACAATACAAGGGGTATAAATGTCCCCCATCTCCCCTCCTCTTCCCCCACCTTTTTCCCCCGGGCTGTATTTTTATAACCTCAGGTAAATCCCTTATCAGCCTTCAGTTGGTTTCCTCAGCCGTAAAATGGAGAAGGTGATCAGCAATGTTTTGTTCTTGAGGTAATTTCGTATATTCTGTCAGAAATATTTATCCCCTTGGCATTTTTAAAATTTCTTCGAGGTTAGCAGTTTCTCTTGTGTCTCCGTATTTTAATCTGTGTCTCCGTATTTTTGTGTTTATGTGTGTATATAAGATTTCATGAAGGCATCCCCCCACCAGCCCCTTGCACTGATGGAGATATAGTCTGAATCTAAGACACTTAACAGAGTGAGGGAGCTCATCTATCCAGTATCACGACTAGGTCATCAGGCTGCAACTGCGCATTATGTTTAACCCACCTACCAAGATGAATTTTGAAGGCTAACATGCATCAAGACAGTAATGTGGAACATAGTTTTATAGTGTTTTTTGTTTTGGTTTTGTTGTTGTTTTGGAGATCCAGGTTAGTTGGGAGAGTAATTTTTAAAAGTAATGTTAGATCAACAGTTTCTTCAGTATAGCCAGTAAACTTGAGAGCAATGAAATCTGTGGCCAGTTTTGGCACATACTTCATTTAAAATTTTCTGTTCTCTTGACAGACTGCCATCAAGAAGAATAACCCACGGAAATATCTGCGCAGTGTAGGAGATGGAGAAACTGTGGAGTTTGATGTGGTTGAAGGAGAGAAGGTGAGAGGAATTGCGGCTGGGTATCCAGGGTGCTGGCACAACTCTCTTGCATAGTAAATGGTCTCTCAGCCCTTTATGAATTTGTCATTATGTACATTGTTTGATGTAGTACAAAAGAACATTTTGATTTCTATTTTAATAAACGATTAACCCTATTTAATCATGGAAGGAAAAGCTAATTTCTCAAGGTATAAAATGACATATTTTATTTTGGTACCAAATGTATATGCAAGTGTAGTTTAAAATTAAACTGTTTTATAGTATTAAAAATAGATAAAAGCTGCTTTGGGGCAAAAGATATCTCTTTTTAAGGTTTTTAAAATAACATTTATTTCTTAAAAGTTAACGTGTACATAATAGGAAACCAAAAAACACAAGAAGCAAAAAACAAGGATATCTTTTTCTAAGAGTAAAGTTTTTAGGCTGTGATTTGTAAGCACTTCTGCACAAATAATACACAGTAAAGAATGTTTTAATCTCAATAAAAGAAGATTCAAATCAAATATAATCATTATGTTTTCTCTTTGGCTTGGGTTTTGGAAAGCCAGAGGCATCCTGAGAGACTGTATAACAACCATCTTCAGGTGAAGAACAGCCCAAGAAGCTAATGGATCATCTTGACGCACATCTAGAGATGTTTTTTTATGCTGTTATATACTTAATTCCAATATTAGCAATGTCCTTTATGCTTTGTTTTTAATCAACAGCATATTCTAGGTATCAGTAAAACAATATAGGATAAGAATAAAAACATTTTAAAGCCACATATGGTACTGCTGCCATGGAGGCTGATCGTGGCAGCTGAATTACAAGCTGAGTGAATGACTGCTTCACTCGCAAATGAGTGCTCTTTTCACATACACACCATTCATTCCATAGCCCATATTCTTCGCAGCTCTCAAACTGTTTTCTGGTTTGAAAGAAAAACAACTTTATTCCACCTAATGTAGAAATTTAAATGATTTCTTTACCAGTGTGATCCCCAGGGTATCTTGCAAACCTCTTGGAGTTTCGAATTATCTACCTGCAAATGCTGGCCTGTAATGATCTCTAATGTCTCACCCAACTCTTAAAATTTTGTTTGGCCAGGTTAATTTTACCTCTGTATATTTTCAGAATTTGAGGTTATACAAATTGCTGTAGAGTGGGAAATGTGCTCTTTTGAATCTCCTTTGTCCGAACTTTTTATACTTTTGAAGCGTTACTTCATCCATTTGTCCATGTGAGAATCCGAACGCTAAGTCTGTTTCAAGGATAAGAAGAAGGTTTAGAGAGGGACTACATTTGTGGACACTGTGTATGCAGTGTCTGTGTGTATGCAGACGCCTAGTCAAGGACCCTTCATTCCTGC